ATGTACCAATGGGCATTTAGGATAACATGAGATTTCGGTTCGGGGGAGGCTGGAAGACAAACTGAGCACCCTCCAAAACCATCCCCCCCCCCCCCCCCCGCTTACATGCAGGCTCATACATTGGCAATGTTCATTAACAATTCTGCACCCATTTGTCACTGATTGCTTAGCTGGATTTCCCGAGCCCCCCCCCCCCCCGGCTACATGCCTGGCAGGCATTCAACTATTCTCAAGTCTGATGAATAAAAAGGACATCTTTCAAATGTCCTATAGAGCCTATGTTTTAAAAACAACTAGACATAACAGTATTTTCAACCAAAATAGAATAAAATCCTCATTACAGTACACATTTCCCGCACACCTATAATATTTACTTAATCTTTAAGCAAAATGTGCACATGCTTGATGGTGATTTCCAACCTCATGTATGATAATGAAGCAATCAAGCAACATTTCTGATCATTTCAATGAACAAAGTAAAGAATATCTGTGCTTCTAAAAGTCATTCAGATATGTGCCTATAAATATTTTACCTGGAGCTATTCCATAGATTTCTTCAGCTATCCTGGCAGCCTCCTTCCTGTTCCCTTTCACAATATAGAAATGGGTCAGTAAAGCCAAGGAGATTTTAATTAAGAGTTTGAAACAAAACAAAGCAAAAATGGCAAAATAAATGTTATTAAAAGCATAGAGTATCGTACTGTCCTCCATTTTGCCTTGCCCTGTGTGTAAGTTCACATGTGTGCTAAGTTACAGTTTACTATTATTGGTATCATATGACATCTATTTTGAACTCCTGAGCAGTTGATGTCTTTCAGTTACCAAAAATACACCCTGGTTTGTTTGTTTTTACATTACAGGCAAGCTATTGATATCAAATAACAATGCTTAGGATTAAAAACTTTGAATGTTTTTCCGTGCCTGCATTAAACAGCATAACTTCTTCAGTCTAGTTTATGCAAATATAACATGAGACATAGTTTGTAATACATAAGGGAAGTATATGAAGAAGAAATACAAAACACATCAAAATAATTTTAAAAATGGGCATTTTCCCACACTGCACAAATTGCTAATTACATTATATATAGTTTTTCCATTTTCTAATTTAAGGTGTTTATTCTTCATCAGATAATTCTTCAGCTGCTATTCAAAGTGGGAAAGGATCTCACTGCTTTCTTTTTACAATTTCAGAGCACCTTCTGTATGTCCACTTCATGTATAAGTCACAAAAAAATTGACAATTTCTACTACCTTGGCAGCCACCTCTCCACAAATGTCAACATCGACACTGAAATACAACAACACCTCAGTTCTGCGAGTGCAGCATTTTTTTAACGAAACTGAGAGTGTTTGAGGATTGGGACATTCTTAGGGATACCAAGATTCTTGTTTATAAAAATATTGTCCTCGCAGCTCTGTTATATGCCTGCAAAATGTGGACCGTCTACAAACGGCACTCTCAACTTCTGAAACAATTCCATCAAAGCTGCCTCTGAGAAATCCTGCAAATTTCTTGGGAAGACAGACAGACAAATGGTAGCATTCTGGAAGAAGCAAAGACCACCAGCATTGTAGTAATGATTCTCCACCATCAACTTCGCTGGACTAACCATGTTCTCCGAATGAAAAAGAATGCCAAATAATATAAAAAATCCCTGCAGTCATCATTGTTTAATTTCATTCTAAAGTTTGTGTGAATAAAGTTTATGTGAAAATTCCTAGACTTATACGTGTGTGTGTGTGTGTGTGTGTGTGTGTATCCAGCAATAAAGAACAGGAAAGTTGTTCTCATTCTCCCATAGACACACTTCCACATCCAGACATTTCTGGAAAAAAGGAAACCAATAAACCATTATGATTAATTGACTGGAAGCATTTTTTCAGAGAAGTTGTAAACCTCAAACTTTGTAAACTCCTGACATAGAGCTATAACAATGCTGCAATGGCATGTCACATGTGATTATCAAGTGCACCATGGGAAATATTTGATTTTAATGGGATAACACAAGTACCTGTTTATTGTTTGTGTGAAATATTGACTTCCCTATTTTCAGCCTCACAATAAATCCTCAAAGTGGCTTAGAGTAAAAGAAAATCAACACATTGTTGATGGCGCTATTCCCTTAGTGCTGTTAAGTAGCACTTTCTTTCCAGCCAAAATATTTTACCTCTATTAATCAGTGGTATTTGAAAAGAGAGAGGCAGTTTCTCATGAGGATGTTCTTTCTAAACCATTGTAATACCTTACTTTTAAAGGGACTGAACCATGGAGCTTAGAGAGAGATTCATTAAAGTCTTGGTTAGGCCACCCAGGACTATGGAAGAATACAATTGGGAACAAACTGGATTAATTGACCAAATTAAAACCCACACTGCCCCTTCTCCATTTAATAACAAGTCAGTTATGTCAAAGGTATTGTCAGTCAGTTAAATGATGCTTTTTCATCTGAAGAGAGAGGCCACTGATATTTACACAGAAAAACTAAGAGCTTTCTCCCACTAGCTTCCTGTCCTGCTTTAAGGATTGCTTTCTTTCCGACTGCATCTTCAGAACCACTATGGACTGCAGTGTTTATTTGAACTAAACCCATACATACCATACACATAATTTTGGACTACCCAGTCACTACCTCTCCCCAAACAAGTATCTTTTCCTTTTTCATCATTTGGCAGATATGCAGGCACACACTTAGAAAGATGCCCTCTGAAATATAACACCACGGCATTATAGTGTTCTAGCATAATATCCTTGCAACAACCCCCTTCCCCCAAACTCTAATCTGATCTGAGTAAAGGAATAAGCCAGAGCTTTCCCCAAGCCTCAGAGGACAGGAGCACTGCAGCCAGAGAGCTGACACCCACTACACCACACTTGTCAAACTCAAAGCTCAGGACCAAATCTGGCTCCTGATGTCATTTTATGTGGCCCATGTCGCTGTTGCCCATTTTTGGTCTAAAACTATTTTGCTGCTTATGATTCCTTTATTTTATCAGTTTTAAACTTATTTATTATCCAATGCTTTTGACACAAAATAAATAAATGTGGCCCATGAGGTCTAGATGGTCCCTGTGCTGGTTCCACTCCTTTTGCAAGCACAGACTGCATCCCCCTATTTCAAATGCAGCAGGAATGTACTTGCAAGTGAGTGTATTTCCAGCTGGAGATAATTTCCCTCCTCACAGCATCTGACATCCTGGGGATCACAGCAGAACAGATTGTTTAAAATTACCTTCAGGCTATGTGTATAACAATACCTAAGTGAATTTTGTGTTTATACTTGGGTATTCTCTCATTATACACATAGCTCTAAGGGAGCCCCCAGTGGCGCAGTGGGTTAAGGCGCTGAACTTGCTGACCGAAAGATCGCAGGTTCGAATCCAGGGAGCGGCGTGAGCTCCCACTGTTAGCCACAGCTTCTTAAGTAGATCAATAGGTACCGCTCTGGCAGGAAGGTAACAGTGGTCTGTACAGTCATGCTGACCACATGACCTTGGAGTTGTTTACGGACAATGCCAGCTCTTTGCCTTAGACATGGAGATGAGAACCACTCTCCAGAATCAGACACAGCTGGACTTTATGTCAGGAAAAAACCTTTACCTATCCTTTTATTCTCTCCAAGACATCTCATTCAGGATGTAAATGCCAGTACAGACATTCAAAACTCTTAAGATCCCCAACATTTCAGTTCCAAGGCATTATTTGTATTCTACAAAGGACCTCATCACATTAAGAAATACTCTGTTTCAATCCGTATGCATCCTGCAGCTTTTATGATTGAATGCATGCTGTTTTCGGACGGGATGCATACTAACCCCTGCACACTCAAATACTATGCTTCTTACCTTCAGAAAATATTCTGCTTTGACTCACCACACCATTGACGGCTGGCTCCTCCCAATCCACTCGAAAGACTCCCTACACCACTCAGGGCCCTTCCACACAGCCCTATATTCCAGAATATCGAGGCAGAAAATCCCACATTATCTGAGTCAGATAACCCAGTTCAAAGCAGATATTGTGGGATTTTCTGCCTTGATATTCTGGGATATAGGGCTGTGTGGGAGGTCCCTTAGTGACCTCTTTTCTAAGATTGTGCACTGAGGTAGCCTTGAAATCCCAAACTACCACTACCTATCACTGAGACTATGAAGTAATAGTTTCACCCGATTGCTACCTTTTGGTGACAAACAAAAAAGCTGCTGATGTTGTTTTGTTCAGTAATTTCATTTTATGAGGCTGAATTTGAGGTGATTCAAAGGCAATAGTGGCTTCTATCAGCATTGCTTCTTCTATTGAGAAGGCATGATTGATATTACTTTGAAGTGTTTGCTGGTTATATGGCTTTGCATGGGAAAGGACGACCCCAGAGCCAAGGCAATGTTAGCTGAGGGAAGAATTTTGGAGGTTTTTGTAGCAATATAGCTAATGAAGAAAAGGAATTCTTAATTTGTATCAAAACATTCTTATTACATTGCCAAGTTTTTCTGTGATATAAAAAGATGATTGAAGAAGAGCTGAATTGCTCTTTTACATCTTTTGATTAAAATTATTTTACAAATTACCATTCTGATACACATACAGATACAATGGAGTGAAGAAATAGTGCAGATTCCAGTAAAGAAATGTTTTAAAAATGAAGTAAAGTGGCAATTACTGATTTCAGTAATCCCGGAGATCTTTCCCCTTCAACATCCAAACTGAAATGGCAGTCGCTTCCATTATGAAAAGTCGGGGGGGGGGGGGGTATCATATCAGAAGTGACTTGAGAAACTGCAAGTTGCTTCTAGTGTGAGAGAATTGGCCATCTGCCAATGGTACCCAGATGTGGTACCATCCTGGGGGAGGCTTCTCTGGTGTTCCCGCATTAGAAGTTGGAGCTGACAGAGAGAAGCTCAGGTCAGCAGTTCAGCTGGCACAAGGGTTTAACCCATTGCACCACCATGGCATGTAGTCATGAGACTCCACTCCCATATATCCCCCAAATGACAAGTCATAGTGATGCTGTCAGGATACACACAGACTTTCCGATTACACGCAAAAACAGTGCTTTCTGTAGTATTTCAAAAAGCACAATTAAAATTCCTGTTTCTGCAGCACTTTGCAGATGGATTCCAATAGCATATTGATGGGATGGGACAAAAGACATATGAAATCATTCTCAAACAGTTCAGAAAAGAATCTTTTCTAATGTGATGAGGTCCCAAGCTGTCATGTTTGAAAGTTATAGAATAGTACTCTAAGCTTTGAATCTCCAAAGCACTTTATTTTTCTTTAAAAGTAAAGATTCTCTATGACATAAAAACAGTTGAATTTGAAAGGTGAAATTAAGATTGTTTTCATCAGGTTTGCAATACTACTGCAATCAGTATGAAGTTTTCATTTTTATTATCTTCTTTGATTAATGCAAGGGGCAAATGATACTCAGGTGCGTATTTGTATTTAACTGCAGGTTTTGAAAAAATGCAGCTGATCTGAGAGTAGCAGCTTAGTAATCAAGGGATCAGAGAAGAGGTGGAGAAGAAAATTGATTCAAAGGTGGTAGAGATAAAGAGAAATTCTGCCTGATAAGGGGTGAGAGGTAGCATTATGGAAAGAGAGGTAGCAATATTGTTCACTGCTTCTAGATTAAAATCAGCAGTGACAACAAGAAATCAAAATATCTCGAAAATGGGGTCTAGGAATCTCTGATTCCAAGATTTGTATTTGAACAACAGGTTGTTAACCGAGGAATAGTGTACTAGTGACACTAGGTGGAGCTATAGGAATATAATAATTTTTTTGTAAAATCAATTGCAAGCACGGTGCCAGCTAAAATAGGGCGTAGTTGGCTACTTAAGAGTTGTCAAGACCAATTTACTTCAAATGGACATTAGTGAAAATGGTCAGTTAATTGCTCCAAAACTAAAAGGAGATTAGACTATATATGATAATATGCTACAAGGTACTGTAAAATACAGTCCATTACCATTCTTGCATGAAAGCCATTTTCAAAATTGCTTTTGCCCACAATTTAGTTCACGGTAAGAGTCTCCTGTGGAGAAATATTGCCATTTGGCTAAATGTCAACCCACTTTATGAGAGAGGAAGACTTGGCTCTTATTTGCACAGAAGTCATTTTGTATTGTGGTAGTCACACAGGGGTGTTTAATAGTATAAACAAACATCACAGCTGACTTCTTTTAAAATGGGGGAAATCAAAGATGGATGAGTAAGTACTTTCCAAGGCAGGAAAGGAGAGAGGTGAGCTGTGGTGGTCCAAAGGCACACAGGCCTGATGGTGAAATGCGTAAACATGCAGAATGCAAGTATCAGGAAGAGTCATCTATTAACCACTGACAATCCATTGCAGCATGCTCAGCTGATGCTTGCATTCCTAAATGTGTGAAACATGATGTATCTTCCAGGTTGCCTGATGACATTAATTAATGCACAAGTGCATTGTAACACCCTACGGCTCCATCTCAATCTTTATTTCTTGGAAAGCTAATTCATTTTAATGCTGTAGCTGATCCCTAATTTAGCATGTATTTTGCACATTCGAAGTCCCAGACCATTAAATGTTTTAGAAATAAGATAGTGTGTTTAGAGTAAAAAGTAGAATATGTTTAAACAGAAAAATATTTAGAATACAACCTTACCGACTGGTTTAAAAAAGGAAGCCACCTAATTTCAAATAAAGGATCCAAGAAAGTAACCTACCAGAGAAATATTAAGCAAGTGACCAGAGTACTACAAAACCAAAATGTCTTATTATATGGATGCAATAGTGTTAATTGGTGATGCAATCATCTGTAAACAGGCTGATGGCTGATATTATCTGATGTCATCATTTGGTGCCAGGTAGCCAGGATGAGTGAATAGTGACATAAGTGAATAGTCTCTCATGATCTCATGCAACTTCCTATTGGAGAAGAAGGGTTTCGGTGGGGTTTCTTTTAAGGTTAAACTACTGAGCTGCTGAACTTGCTGACAGAAAGGTTGGTGTTTCGAATCCGGGGAGCGGAGTGAGCTCCTGCTATTACCCCACCTTCTGCCAACCAAGGAGTTTGAAAACATCCAATTGTGAGTAGATACTATTACCCACAGGTTACTACCCTTGAAATGCTTATAAGAGAGAGGGAAAGAAAACCACTGCCTTTAATATGGCATAGGGTATAGTAAATAGGCATTGCTTATAGGTCAGAACCAGCACTTTGAATTGTGCCTGGAGAGAGATGAGGAGCCAGTGGAGTTGAGTGCTCCCTGTAGCAACTTTCTGCAAACAACCTGGCTGCAACTCTTGGCAAACTAAAATACCACTATGTTGCAAATCTGCGTTTCCAGGGGGAGTGCAACCCCCATCTCACACTGAATGAGTCTCTGGTCCCAGATACATTTATTAACTGACCAGGAGCACCTCTGTCTTGTTTTGATTATGCTTCAAATTGTTTGCCTTCATCCAGTCCAGTGCAATTGCCAGGTACCCATTTAACACAGAAACGGCTTCCCTGAATTTAGGTGGAAAGAAGTAACAGAGCTGTGTATCATCAAGATATTGGTGACACTTGACCCCAAAATGCCATATGACCTCCCCATATATGGTTTCATATATATGTTAAATACCATGGGGAACAAGACTGAGCCCTGAGCCATTCCACAGGCCAATGGCCAAGAGGTCAAGCAGGAATCCTTCCGTTCCACCCTCTGAGATCATATCTCTAGAGAGAGTGGTGCAACTGTAGAAAATACATCCAAGCCCCATCCCAGAGAGGTGACTCAGAAAATACTCTGCTATAGGAAGTTGCTGAGAGGTGCAGCAGAAGCAAGAGGGACACACTGGCTAGTTCCCTGAGTAGATGATCAAAGATGACTTCTCCCTTAACCAGACTTGAAATTATATTGGAATGATCTAAGTCAGGGGTCCTCAAACTTTTAAAGCAGAGAACCAGAACAGTTTGAAGCAACCTAAACTTATCAGTATTTCAATGGGAAATATGGCCCTGCTTTTGACTGATGAGACGGCCAAGTTAATTAGCATGGTTTGTTGTTGCCCTAAGTAAAGTTTTTTTAGACTTAGGGCAACCCTAAGTCTAAAATTTGGAGAGGGGGCTGAGTAAATGACCTTGGAGGACCACACCCCCGGGTCTTAGTTTGGGGACCCCTAATCTAAGTAATCTGCCTGGTCCAGGAAATCATGAAATCAAAAAGCCCTTATATGATCTAGTTCATGGCTTACACAAAAGCAAAATGTTAGATAGTATATGATTTTTTTTTACATTAGCTGGCAAAATAAACAACATAAGCAATTACAAATCATGTGTTGTATCTTTTCAAATTGCCCAGTCATCCCTCATTAGTTATAGGCTGTATCTTTCCCCCTTTAACTCAAAACAGATTTTATTCTGCAGCTCCTCCACTGATGTTTTCTCTGAATGCTAATGCAAGAGACTTCCAGGGAAAACAGATGACACGGCATTATTTATAGATGTCATTTGTCTCAACTAATGCTCAAAGTGGAAACACTTGGTAATGCATGCAGATGAATGTATGCTCACATTACCTTCTTGGCATTAATAAAGATTAATAGTCCACAGCCTGATTTGTGTACATTGATCTAAACAGTCCTGGTAGGATCCATTCATGTTGTTTGCCAAGGCTTGCTGCTTCTTAGTTCTTTAAACAAATGCAGTGTCACCATTTCAACCAGGTCTACTATTGATTTAAGACCAAACATCACATGACACTAAAAGTGGCAAGTTGTGTGTACTGTTTAAACAACTGTGATAAATGAGATTTAATTCTTCCCCACCAGCAATAAAAATGCCTCTCCAAAACTGCTATTCAACCTAGAAAAAAAAGGTTGGCATCATTGGGAGCTTTCTAGCTAGAAGAGGATATTATAAATATAGTAGACACCCAACTCTATTACTCCTTTCTACCTGATTCCAAGGAAGCGGTTCCTGTGCTAAACTGGTGCCTGGCAGATGTAATGGATTGGATGAAGGCAAACAAATTGAAGCTTAATCCAAACATGACAGAGGTGCTCCTGGTCAACTATAACACAAATCTAAGAATAGGGAGTCAGCCTGCGTTCAATGAGGTTACACTCCCCTTCAAAACTCAGGTTCACCGTTTGGGTACTCCTGGATGTGGCTCTGAACCTGGAGGCCCAGGTATCAGTGGTGACCAGGAGTGCTTTTGCACAGTTGTGCCTCTTCCTGAAGAGCTTGGATCTGGCCACAGTGGTACATGCCTTGGTTACATCTCGGTTGGACTGCTGTAATGTGCTCTATGTGTGGTTGCCTTTGAAAAGGCTCAGAAACTTCAGTTGGTCCAAAGAGCAGCAACCAGACTGCTAACTAGGGTTAGCTACAAAGAGCATACAACTCCACTATTGCAATAGCTCCAATGGCTGCCAAAACTTTTCCGGGCACAATTCAAAGGGCTGGCTTTGACCTATAAAGCCCTGTATGGTTCTGGTCCAGGTTATCTGAAGGAACCTATCTTTTTCTATGAACCTGGCAGACATCTACAATCTACTGGGGAGGGCCTTCTCTTGGTCTCACCACCCACTAAAGCCCATTGGAGATTTCTGGATACAAATTTTGTCCCTTTAATTTTACAGCATTATTTATTTTTAAGAAGGCATGGTGGTATAGGTTGATTATCCCCTATTCAATCTGCTTGTGACCAGAAATGTTTGGGTTTTCTCATATATATATATACACGCATATACTGTAGATACATAATGAGATATCTCAGAGATAGGGTCAAAGTCTAAATGCACATTTCATTTATATTTCATATACACCTTTATTTACATAGTCTGAGGGTAATTTTACACAAGATATTTAACAGTATTGTGTATGAAACAAAATTTTGTACACCGAACCATCGTAAAACAATGTCAGTATTCCAGTTCTCTATGTGCACAATTGCAGATGTTGGTGTATTTAAGATTTTGGAATTTATGAAGAAGGAAGGTTCGACTTGTACATGAAATGGCAGTAACACTAATACCTGTGGTTGTCATTCACTCTTTCTGATATAGGCTTGTATTAATAATCAAACATGGCAATACGCATCAATAATCAATGCCTTTATTACCTATATACATTTTAAATATGTCACATCAGGCAGTAGTTATACAATAAATCAAGTACTAAAAAAATATGAACAGTAGATCAAATATTCAGTGTTGATTGTATTTGAGAAAAGGCCTTTCACAGGCCTGAAAACGTTACTCTAAAGGCATATCAATTGACAGATTTCAGCATTTCCAAGCGGCAGGGTGACAATTCTCACCATTTCAGCCACACCAATTTCTTTTCCAAACAACAACAGCAATTGATTCAGGTCCTTTTTAGGGGCTCTTTACAAAATAAAGATTTTTTGTGTAGCAGAGGTCTGTGGCTAAATGTCAACGTCCTTGCAGATCCACCTTCTTAATGAATATACACAGGATGCTGTGTTTCTATCAGTACGGTCAACCATATAGCCATGATTACTATTATTTAAAAGCCAGTGACAGGCAACTACTTTGCAAAGCAGTGTGGTATTTGATACAGGAGATATAAGCTCAGCTAAGGGTTTTCTCTGCTTTGGGACCCATGTGGGACTCTTCCTCCCCTCAGGCAACGGCAGTGCCTTGAACACGTTGGTCGAGTAGTTGGACACATTCTGGACTGGAATGGGCATTTCTCTTCACAACTGTTTAAAGCCAAGAAATTAAAAGAAATGAGAAAAGAAGTGTACAACATGGTCTGGATAAGATTAAAAGAAGAGATGTAATCTATACTCCTTATTCTATTTGGTAAGGTAGACTCTCACAGTTTTTTGTCTGGATTTGTGAATTGTCCATCATTTGTTTTTACGATTTCAGGGCCCATGCAGATAGGCCTTGAACCTGACACCTATCTCAGTTTTATCGGAATAACCCTGTTTTGTCCCAAATTAATTAGATACCTATCAAAGATCTGGGTCTTTCTAGGTGTGAGCCCAGTGTGGATTGGGCCTGGGGAGCACAATCCCCAGGCCCAATCCACACAGCCGTTTTAGGATTTTCAGACTCCATAAGCCATTAAGGTACTTCTGGGGTCCTCCTGACATGTAGAAATGATGAACCAGGAGATGGGGGGGAACAAGGAGTGCTCAGCAGTATTTTAATGGCAGCCGGGTAAGTTGTTTTAATTTTAAGGGCTTATTTGGGGGGGGGGGGCTTCTGGGTGTCCTCCCGGAAGTTACTGGGAGTGTAACTAGATAACATCCGGGAAAGCACAGGTTTTTGGAGGAGCTGTAGGGACTAAAACCCATGCCGAAGTGGGTTTCTTAAACCCATTTCAATGTGCATTTAAATGAAGTCTGGAAGTGCCCCTAGGCTTCACTCCCCATTTCCAATAAAGAGTTCACCCAACACGTTTTAGTATTCCAGTTATATTGCAGACATGGCTTGGGTCTATGATACCTCAAATACTTTTTCTTCCTGTATACACCTGTCCCGTTCATTGAAATCTCCAGGGAATGGCTTTTTAAAATGCTTCAGTGGCACAGGTGCATCGGATTGTGATACAGGAAAGAGACTTCTTTGGAACCGTTAAACTCCTCATCTGGGAGAATTAATTTGCTTCCTCTATTTTGACTTCTTGCATCCCAGCTAAGGGTGCATCTACACTGTAGAATTAGTGCAGTTTCACTATCATGGCTCATGGAATTGTGAGAGATATAATTTGGTGAGGTTCCAGCACTATTTGGCAGAGGATGCTAATGATCTTGTAAAACTTCAACTCCAAGAATTTGTATGTGTGTACATGAGTTATGCTTCAATTACTGATTCTTGTAGATACTACAGCCATCTTCCCCATCCTTGTACTCTCCCGATACGTTGGAGTACAAATCCCAGCATTGCCGGATGATAGATCACTGTTGTCTCTAACACATCTGACCAACTTTAGATCATGGAAGACTGTTCTACAAAGTATTCCTATTCATTGGCATTATTTAGTTCATAGGTATGGAAATCTTTCTTCTTTCAACAAGGGCTAGAATCAATTTTAGGTACGTTTTAGGGATACGATGATGGGCAAAGCCAAAAACAGAAGGGAAAAAACAAAAACAGCAGCATATTTCGGCTTAAAGCTCATGCAGCCAGTAATTAAGTCTTAGGAGAGGCACTTCAAAGTACTAGAATAGAAAGCTGCAGAAAGAATGGAAAGTCATCACCATGAAACAATGATGTTATGGGAAAGTGGTTGCAGCCATTTGGGCCAGATTGGATTGGGGAAAATTTGGCTTTAGGGCCTGAGGCTTCACACCCAATTTAACATGAAGTCCAGCTTGGAGGGAGAACTTGGTCAGGGACACAGTCAGACATGGATCAAGCAGGCTCTTTCTGATTGACAGCCAATAAGGAGCTTACCTGCAAGTTTCTGCATTAAATGTCTTGTGTTTCTGAAAACAGCTTTCCTGGCTCTCTGTGCACAAGTAACAGCTGCAGTTCTCTTTGTTCTGAAATAAATTCCCAGAGCACTTCCATTTACAGTTGCACTCACAGCTTTCCTCGTCAAAGTCCATATTTGGTGCACACATTGCAAGTTCAGCAAGTGAAGGGAGTCCTGGCATAAAATACATGTTTTTAGGAGAGAGAATGTGAGAAAGATTTATACATAACTGGCTCCCCAGCCCACACAAAAGCCCTCTGCAAAATGTTGGCCATTCATCACACTGACAAAAGTCATAGAAATCAGCTGTAAATTCAAGATAATATCCTGCAAGTCTTGGATTAATGGAGAACAGCACACAATCTATCCACAGATAAACAAACTACAAAATCTATAGCAGGAATAAAATTTCAATTTTCATAAATAAATAACTAGAACTAGGGGAACCACAGCTTTTAAAATATATATATAGTATACATTTCATTAAGAATTGCTATTGTAATAGTAATGAACCCAGAGTATTGCTACAGCTATGCATATTGTTTCAATTTGACCAAATCCAAAGAACTTTAGCATGCCAGAGGGAAGTTTGAGTCTCTGTACAGAAGTTCACCAATGACATATCACAAAAGCATTTTTAGACATCTTTGTCTCAAAAGAGTTTTGTTTTCTATTGGGAAACTGGGTCTACAGACAATGGGTAGATCTACAGTCAGAGGCAGCCCTAGGTAATTTTCAACGGTAAGCAAACAGTATTTTGGTGCCCCGCCCAACCAATCATTGATATATATTTTCTCTTCATTGTGGGAGTTTTGTGTGCCATATTTGGTTCAATTCCATCATTGGTGGAGTTCAGAAAGCTCTTTGATTGTAGGTGAACTATACATCCCAGTAACTACACTTGCCACACTTGCTCCCTTGCCTGGCCCGCTTTGGGTCCAGAGGCATGCCTGAAGACCCCAGCGTGTGCACCAAAAGTCACCTCTTCTCCTGACTTTTTCCTCAGCCATTGGGACCAAGAGAGAGAGAGAGAGAGAGAGACAGAGGTGGAGATGCCCACCTTTCCTGAAGGTAGGCGCAAAAGCAAAGGAAGGAGCGGAGGTGGGAGATATAGGGGCTTCGAGGCTTATTAAGGCAGGGGGGAACAATCAAAGAAATCCCACCACAGTCCTTCCTTCAATAAGGAATTCACTCTACTTCGGCCCTAATAGTGCTTGAGGGGATGTCACGTTGTGTAAAAAACCTTCGCTGCCACCAAACTTAAAGAAATCACGAACCCTCTAGCTATTTAGAAATGTTGAAAAGCTGTTTAAATTATCACAAGGCTTTTTTCCTCCACCTATTACTGTGAATTAACAAGGGCTTTCTTTGAGGGGAAAAACAGGAGAGGTTGTTTTAAAAAAGGAAAATGATTCCAACCAAAAATAGCACTTGACTCAGGCTTGACTTTTAAAAAATAACAAGAAAGAGTTTATTGATTACAAAATACAGAATAACACAAGAATGCAGGTTCAGAGGCTTAATGGTTACAATAGAAAGTGTTCTTGGAACTTATAAGCGTAATGGTTACTTGAGAGAATGTTCTTTCCTTTGTTACTATTGCTTAAACACAAAACCCAGCTATTTACTTTCTCAAAATAGCTGTAACTCAGTCTGCCACAGCCTACTGTGCTGTGCAAACTACAGGCAAGCTGCCTATTCTWWACAGAGACTCCTAAACAAATCYAAMTCYTWCTCTAATCWCYCTCTCAGMACYARMACTGCTCTHTMCTCTACTCAGAACTCAGCTGWMYTCWMAMWCYAVMACTGTSAAAACTMWCWSTTCTCTTTCCCTCCWTCTGGYTAACTCCGCCCCTMTTYYCYAAACCAATCCTGSCTGTTGCTGGGCTGGCACAGGCCTCGGCCACTMCCCCTTCTCTGAACTGGAGCTTTTCCCTAACCTAAGATGGCTCCAGCAGCTCTCTGCCAGGCCTTCCTAAACTGAAACCACCTAGCCTGTCTCTTCCTGGGCCCTGCCACCCTGGCTGGCAAGGTAAGGGATCTTTACAGGAGATACCTCCAGCCAGAGGGGCTCGCTCTCTCTCTCTCTTGGTCCCAATGGCTGAAGAGAAAGTCAGGAGAAGAGGCGACTTTTGGTGTGCATGCTGGGGTCTTCAAACATGCCTCCGGACCCGAAGAGGGCCAGGCGCGGCGGCTCTGCCCCTTGGCCCACCCGCGGATTGGGGAGAGGAGAGGAGGCGGGTGGAGCGCCGGGGGATCGGGAAAGGGAGCTGGTCATAGGGAAGGGATCAAAAACGGAGAATGATTGAGCGCTGGCTCTGCTCGCGCACCCGGTGGCCGGGTGGAGCATGAATGAGAGGGGCTAGGGGAGGCTCAAGGGCCTGGCCCCTTTGGGAAGAGGATCGCCCGGCAGCGAGGCAAGAAAGCCAAGGCTCCCCCGGACTGCTAGGGCTGTTGTGAGCTAAGGGGGCACTCCTCAAGTGGTGGTTGAGGGGCATTTACAGAGGCGCCTCTGCGTCCCTGGCAAAAAAAAGTGTTCTGCGACCGCTTACTTTGCGTAATGGATGAGCTGCTCCTGTCTACAGTATACAACTCAACATGTGCATTTGGGGAAAACCTTGTCCCGTTTCGTGTCCCAGCTTTCGTTGGAGGCCCCAATCAGTTTTTTGTAAACCTTCCAAAATTGGGAGGGTTGTTTTCAGTTCTTTTGTTTCAGGGCCTGAAAATCAGACCATTATTAGGGTAGGAGAGCTTCCTGGTTCCCCTTCCCAGCGTGCATTCTTCTTTCCTGGCACCTGCTGTTCCTACTATAGAGTAAGAGGTGCTCAGCTGTAGGCACTAACAGATACGCATACTTTCTAGGCCTGCCTGCCACACATACACTCTCCTTTGAAAGAGTGTATATATGTGGCGAGACATGCAGGCAGGCCTGATTCAGGCCTGCCTGCACACCCCACCACATATGCCCCGCCACACTCTCTGAGAGTGTGTGCATGGTGGGGCATGCAGGCAGGTCCAGAGCATACCTGCAGCCGAGCTCTGGGCCTGTCTGCCTGCACACCCTGCCACACATGCCTTCTTTTGCCAAGGTAAGGAGGCAAGTTGATTGAGGGGACGCTCTTCTGCTTCCCAGGTTGCCCAGTTGTCCATCCCTACATCTGGAACCTGGAAGGGGAGCAGCATCGGGGAGGAAAAGAAGAAGGATGGAGAACGAGGATGAGAAGAAGTGCAGTGCATCCTGGAGCATGCCTGCAGCTGAGCTCCAGGCCTGCCTGCCTGCACATCCCAACACACATGCACCCTCTTTCCAAGGCAAGGAGACAAGTTCAGATGCACATGAAAGCAAGCTATAGGCAGGCTTTGGATTCGAGCAGATTTTCATGTGGAGAAGGGGCTTCCTGTTTCATGCTTCCAAATAAATGGAAGACACGAAAGAATCAATAGATATTGTAGGAACGAATTTCACACACATGTCTATATATATTGCAAATGTTTTAGAAAATAATAAGAAAGTTGATCATATATAAACATCACCTAGGGAATAAATACGAGGGCATTGCCCCCCCATTAGAATTTTGCCGTCTGAAATGAAAATTTCCTTCAAATTTCTAGCACTGCAGTAACTTAAATCTTCAGCTGAGTATTTAGAAATAGAATGTATGCATCCAAAGAAACGAAATGTAAACATAAAGAATTCTTGATGTAAATGATCTTTAGATCTCGATTTCTCTGATGTTAGAAATCTGAGGACATTATTTCATATCAAAAGAATTGTATGAAATCTGAAGACAGAAGGAAAATTTTATTTAGGGAGAAAAGTTGCTACTTGTGCACAATGCCTCAATGATGCCCCTCCCCCATAGATAGGCTTATGCTGCATCTCTGCTGTAAAATGAGTGCAGTTTGACACTACTTTAATTGGCATGGCTCAATGCTTTGGATTTATGGGAGCTGTAGTTTTACAACACATTTAGCCTTCTCTGCCAAAGAGTGCTGGTGCCTCACCAGATTATAATTTTCATGATTCCATAGCACTGAGCCATTGTAGTTCAAGTGGCATCAAACTGTGTTATTTCCACAGTGGAGGTGCACCCTTGGACATCTGGCACTAACTTCACTCACATTGTGGACTGCCAGAATTCCCCATCCATTTTAGCTACATGATCTCATGCTATTTTCTCAGGTCTGTGCACCAGGCTTACTTGTTATAAGAAAGAGCAACAACAAGAAACATAAACAATCTAGGCCAAGAGAATTTTTGTCATTTTATGAAACACTTGTTAGATATGTTGTATCTACCTTCCCTTATTCCAGGATGTTCTTTGTCAATAATGCATTCACATTTACTGCTATCCCAAATCCATCCTTCGTGACACAATCTGTTTATGTGGGGGCAGCTGGATGTAAACAAGATAAAAATCAAACAATTTTAGAACAGAATGAGAAAGTAGGTCATGTTTAAGTACATGCCACCTGGCCCATGAGATTTAGCTCATCTTCCTGCCTGTGCTTGCCCTACTAAGGTATATTTTGTGCATGGACATCAAGAATATTAGCAGATGTAAGCAAAGTTGCATTGTGCGAGGTGACTGCACTTTCTGTATAAAACAGCAACAGTTAACACACATGTGAATTTTCCTTGTGTGTGTGCTCTCTTGCTTAGCTTAACACATTATCAGATTGCATCTACACTATGGAAATAATGCAGTTTGATACCACTTATACTGCCATGACTCAGTCAATGGAATGTTGGGAGTTTTACTTTGTGAGGCACCAGCACTCTTTGGTAGAAAAGGCTAAAAACTTTGTATACATCTTACATGATTCCATGGCATTAAGCTATGATAGCTAAAGAGATGTCAATTCTACTACAGTGTGTAGATTTATTTATTTATTTACTGCGCTTATATACCGCAATTCTCAGCCCAAGGGTGACTCATTGCGGTGTCACAGATGAACTCACAGCCAAGAGGTTAGCATCAGTCAATTTCAAGGTATATCAGAATAACAAATACAGAATAATGTTATAGTCATATTTCACTCAAGAGGCATAATGAATATCCATAAAAACTTTATGTGGGGTTTAACGGGATTCTGGAAGTAGCCTAAATAGCAGCTACGATCCCACACCAGACTATTTTGCATAACATTATGGTGATGGAGATATGTTGTTGATGTCCAACCATGCTAGTAAATTGTGATGATGCACCATGGCGCACCTCATCACACAATGAGGGTTCTCATTGCACAATGGGACATGTTGTGCATTTGGGTCATATTGTGTTTTTGGCTCTGCATACCACAATGGTCCCAATGGCATAGCTATGCCTTCACTCTCCTCTTAAGAAAACACACGTTGTTCATTAGCATTATTCAACTATACATTATCATCAATTGGTTTGCAATAATGCAACTTTCCAACAGAATGGTAGCTAATGTTCCCAAACTCTGGCAGTTTCTCTCCATGCCTAACTTTAGGATCATTTGACAAGAAGCCTCATTACCATCAAAGGGACAATTCGGGGAACTGCTAAGTCATCAAACTGGGGCCTCCAACTACATTCCAACAGCCTGCTGTTTCTTAATTTGCCACAGCTGCCTTTGTCAATTTTGACCTTTTTTGGGGGGGAAAAACCTCCATAAATATTAAAGACGCCAGGGTAATTAAAAACTGCTGTTAGAAGAAGAGACGTCCTTATACATTACTCTTTCTTTAGAATACTGAGAAATGCTGACTTTTTATATATGCTAAGAAAATCATATTTAACTAACAAAAACAATTTACAGACAAAAAATATGGTTAATTGTTTTCCTTCCTTCCTTTTGCACCTTCCACACAGCTGAATAAAATCACACATCTGCTTTGAACTGGAATATGTGCTAGTGTGAACTCAGATAACCCAGTTCAAAGCAGATATTGTGGGATTTTTGCCTTGATATTCTGGATTATAGGACTCTGTGGAAGGGCCCTTTCTTTCTTTCTTTCTTTCTTTCTTTCTTTCTTTCTTTCTTTCTCTCTCTCTCTCTCTCTCTCTTTATCTTTCTCTCCTTCTTTATTTCTCTCTTTCTTTCTAAGTAGGGATGTAAAAAGAGGAGGAAATTGACTGTCTTTCTTACCGATCGTCCTCTGGATCCTGAACAGATCTTCGTATAACAGAATATGATTGGCGCTGCATATTTGTTAGGCACTTACATCCTGTGTGGTTTGCAATTTTGACTTCAATTGGGTCTGGCACATTTGTTAAAGGTACAGAAATCTCAAAAAGCTGTGAAGTTGAGAAATAATACATTTTGTTATTGTGACTATAATAATAGTCAGATATTCATTCCCCCTTACATTGGTAAATGTATTAATATTCATAATTTCATATTCATAATTTATGAATATAGTCTTACAATTCAGTATTTGGACATGTAATAGATATTCATCCAAGATTTGTGGTAGTCTTATAGCTTTCTGGCACATCTTTGAGCATTACTTGTTGGAAGGCATGTATTTCCCCTTTCATATTAGTATTAGGATTGCTATTTTAATTACCAAATGGGAAATGGGGGGATGGGCACATATGTTTGTGTAACAAATGTGATTAGTATTTAATTTATAATGACATCACTATGAGCTGGCCCTAGACCTGAAACCTCAAGGCCAGGGATGATTCTGAACAGGCAACCCTAATTGGCATAAATGGAACATACTCATTTGCTGTGTAAACAGTTAACAGGTTCATATCTGTGAGCAAGTTGTGGAAGTGACTATCTTTCAGACTAAATACCTGAGCTGTAAATTGAGGGACAATAGTAGGTAACTAAACAGGGCTGTTGTGAATAGTGAGCTTCAAATAAAGGGCACTTCTGCAAATTTTAAAGTGATTGATAACCATTCATCAGTATCTGAACATTTTACAGGTGTTAGATGCAGCAGATGTTTCTAAGATTCAGGCTGCAATCCTTTTGGTAAGAGCTCAATGGTAATGCTCACTCTTTGTATGCAAGGTGTTAGGATCAACATCAGATATTGTATCCTTCAGATGTTCCATACTACATGTCTCATCATACACCGGTCATGCTGGGTAAGGATGATGGGAACTGTAGGGTCCCATGTCAGGGGAAAGGAGAAATATTAAATAAATACAGTGTTCCCTCACTGCTTCACAGTTCACTAACCACGGACTCGCTGTTTCGTGGCTTTTCAAAAAAAAAATTAAATACAAGTTGCGAGGGAACACTGTATATAACAGACTTGAGAACCCCATGCCAGTGGGGAAGCAGGGAGGGAGAAGGGTGGCTCCAGCAAGGGGAGGGTGAGGGGAAAAGAGGAAAGTGAGAGAGGAGAGGGAGAGAGGAGGGGGAGAGGGGGAGATGGGGAGATGTAGGGATGCCATATACAGTATGGTATCCCTACATCATGGTTTTTCACTTATCGCTGGGGTTCCTGGAACTGAACCCCCACAATAGGTGAAGGAACACTGTAAATCCAAAATAACCAGTGTGTCTGTGTGTATGTTGATGTAGATGTTATTAAGATAGATCAACCTTGCTCTAAGTAAAATAGCTTGAATGTAGATTTCCTTAGGAATAAGCTATAAGTCCACTGAGTTAAATGGGACTTTGTCTAAAGAAGCATGCACAGCATTGGACTCTTTGCCAAGGCACTGTGTAGCTGCCAAAGAGCAGAAAGTGATCAAAATACCATTTTGGACACATAAGAGGTGCTAGTGTTCATACAGCTGAGGTTCTCTTCATTGCAGCATCCTCCACATCTGTAGACATTCACACAAGGAGGCTTGAAGAACTTATTGGTGCCTGCACCCAACTCTTTGGCCACTTCTATACAGGTCTCTCGTGGGACACACTGGGTCCTTTGCCACTCCTCATCTATAACTGGAAAACAAAAGCCATTCTCAGTAAACCACAGAACTGGAGACCCTAATAGGTCAGCAGCATTATTCACAACTGTGAGAGGTAAGATAATGCTTTGACAGGAAACAAACATTGACAAAGATCCTACATTAGGAGATATATTTCTTTCATATGGTTGTGATATGCCTCTGAATGTATCTCCTCCTAAAAACTTTTCAATTTGGCAGCCACTCGAAGTTGGTGGAGAGCAGAGGAAGCAGGAGAGACATCAAACTATTCTTCAGGAACTTCTCTGAGATCTGTAGGAAAACCCCAAGTATGTTATTTCTCTTGTAACACACGAATGGAATGCCAACCAGTACAGTCCTGCTTCATTAATCCAGTGGAAATTCGGTGGCCCTCCCAAAGCTGTTAGGCGGCAACTCCCAGCATTCTTCTTCATTGGCTATTCTGGCTAGAGTGAACTGCAGGACCAAAGCGCCTTTGGAGCCACATGATTCCTAGATATGGTCAAGTTCTTCCTTGCTTTTCAATAATAGTCTTTAAAGCCTCTCCTGCTACCCAGCAATGTCCAGCCTAATGAGGTGTTTTATATCAGGATACAACTAATTAAAATAGGAATGTTAAAGAAGAAATGAATTTTATTCTTCAAACTGCTTGTTTCTGTAGTTCTCCTTTGGTTTATGTTTGTGGATCTGCATGTGCTGCTGTTGGTACATTCCTTGCATGGTGATTCCTAAATGTTTGTTTCCTGTTTGAACGCCTTACTTCTTTGCAGAGTGAGAAAATGTCTATTGAAGAAAAACAGTTTTGAGCAAAAGAAAATCCAAATAATGTTATGGCAAGAATTTAAGACATTGCTCCAATTAACCCTTTCTCCTTTGTGCAGGTCAGACTCTGTACAAAAGATGGCTGCTCAAACTACAAACTGTGTATGTACTAGAATAGAGTGAGGCAGAAAATAAATGGGTGAGTTGCGATTAATCAGGGGTGTGTAAACGTAACAGTACCACTATTTAGTAACTTATGTTCATAAGTTACTAAAGAATACCACAGGAAAAAAAACCCCAAAGTGACTAGAGCTCTTTCTACACTGTCATATAATCTAGATTATCAAAGCAGATGATCCACATTTTCTACTTTAAACCAGATAGTATGTGTCTACACTTCCATACAATCCAGTCCAAAGCAGATAATCTGGATGTTTTATGGCAGTATAGAAGGTGCCTATGTCTTCCAGGTGATTCTATGATACGTTTTACTGGAAGTTACCATAGAGTTGGATTGGAAGACCTAGAAAATTCCTTGAGAAGATACATCACCAATGCAACCCTTGGGGTAACTTCTCATTGAAGCCATTCATTTCAGTAGGGTTTGCTATTATCCATAATTTCCTGTTTCCACGATCAAGAATGCATTCCCTGTGGATACAGGGGTCATACAGTACATGTGAAATAAAGAAATCCTTGGGGTATTAAGAAGTGGCTTGGGATATTGAAGGATGAGCATTGTTTACTTCTAGTAATTAACATAAATTCCTATTATTAAAATTATTTATGTCTTCTGCACTACGACTTGACAGGTGGCTCTCTATGTTATAATAAAAAGTCAAAGTATATTCCACAAGTTTGACATCTATCCAACCTTACTTTAGAGGAAGAAAAAAATCCATCATCAACTTTGCACCTACCTTTGAGCATCTCAATATCATAGAATGCAGCTGCAAATCTTGTGGAGCGATGTGAGGCAGATTTTGAATCCAAGGCAGCTACACTCTTGAGTTTTAACCGGCACTTCCACAGCTTCCAGTCCTCGGAGTGGGTAATTCGAAGGAGTTCTTCTAGACTGGCTGCCTTCCTAATCTGTTGTTCTGACCATTCCAAGGCGGAAAGTGCTGTTCTCTGAAAAGATGGGGGCAAACCACATACGTTAGGAGTATATCACCAATTATTTGGCATTGTTAGGGCAGCTTTCTTCAGTTTGAGTTGACTAAACCAATGTAATAAAGATAGCCCTGTGGAATAAAGAGGTTGATTAACCAGCCTTAAAATCAAAGAAAAAACAACAAAAGTCAACCTCAGATTAACAGAAATGTTGAAGAGTAGATTTAGTCTGGATCTACACTGCTCTATATTCCAGGATCTGATAAATGTTTTTAAATTTGTTTATTTATTCCTTATTGTAAATTTATTTTATAGGTTATGATTTTACATATGCATATTGATTTGTATTGTCTTTTACATAATGTTCTGAGCAGCTTTGAATCTTGTTTAGAGGGAAAGTAGGATATGAATAAAGATTTATTATTACAGTAGAGTTTTGCTTATCTAACCTTTGCTCATCAAACATTCTGTATTATCCAACGCAGTCTGCCTCCCGCCTGGATCCACAGCTGTTTCAATGCATTGCAATGTTTTGATTCTAAATTCCTAAATACAGTAATTACTGCATAATTTTACTGTGTATTGAACTGCTTTTTCTGTCAATTTGTTATAAAACATGATGTATTGGTGTTTAATTTGTAAAATCATAACGTAATTTGATGTTTAATAGGCTTTTCCTTAATCCCTCCTTATTATCCAACATTTTTGCTTATCCAACATTCTGCCAGCCTGTTTATGTTAGATAAGCAAGACTCTACTGTATTATTATCTGCTTATCCCAAATTATCTGATAGTGTCGACTCATATATTTCAGTTTAATGTGAGTAATCTGGATGAGATCCTGAGATATAGAGCAGTGTAGATCCAGCCATAGTAAAACATCTGAAGGTTTAGGCTGGATCTATACTGCCATATAAACCAGGCTTTTTTTGGTCTTTTGGCTAATTTGATGTCTGTGGTGGTATGCAGAGCCCAGTTTAGGTGGTTCAGTTCACCTTGGAGGAGGTAGTGCTCGCAGATTCTGTGTGCATGCTTTGTCAGGATTTAAATTGTGCATCTTTTTTGATCTGGGTGATGGTTGGAGTTTTTATGTATGGTAGGTATATGTCAATGTGCATAGGTTTTCTGTTACCTGTGTGGCCCAATTGTTGACTTGGTTTGCAGATAACTAGGACCTCTAGAAATTGTAATTTTCCTTTTTTTACAAAAAAAAAATCCATGGTAAATTGGATATTTGGATGGATGTTATTGATGTGGTCTAAGAACTTGTTTAGTTGTTCTTCTCCATGGCTCCAAATGGTGGGACTGTCATCCACATATCTGAACCATATAGTGGACTAGCTTGTTGCTGTTTCCAGGACTTGTTTTTCAAAGTGTTCCATGTAGAAATTTGCTATGACTGGGCTGAGAGGGATCCCCATGGCTACTCCAGCTTTCTGTTCATAGAATTCATCATCCCACTGGAAGTAGCTTGTGGTGAGGCAATGTTGAAACAGGGCTGTGATGTCTTCTGGGAAATTCAGGTTGATGAGTGTGATGGTGTCTGCTATAGGGACCTTGGTGAATAGAGACACCACATCAAAACTGATCAGTTTGCCATTGACATTGGGTTTGAGATTGCTGATTTTTTTTTCTATGAAGTGGGCTGAGTCCTTGCTGTAGTGCAGTGGTTCTCAACCTGTGGGTCCCCAGATGTGTTGGCCTTCAACTCACAGAAATCCTAACAGCTGCTAAACTGGCTGGGATTTCTGGGAGTTGTAGGCCAAGACACCTGATGTAGTGTGTAGTGAGCCCAATATGGGTTTTTAGTTGTGCAGCCAGAAATTTTGCCAAATGGTATGTGGCACTCATGATGGGTCTGACCAGAGTGGAGTCCTTGTGAATTTTGGAATTCCATAAAGCCTAGGAGGGAGGGCTTCCGATTTGCAGCAAATCAAATATTAATGACAATTTCAACAAAAGGAGGAAACCATGAAAAATGTACAAAATTTGGTTACCAATATTAAAAAAAAAACACCAGAATCAAGACAGTAAATAAAGATCACCATTCAAAAACAGGGAAATTCCAATCCGCAAACAATCAAATACCAGTTAACACGTTCTAAACAAAGTGTAGATGGGGGGGGGGACTTGGGGGGCTTCACCCCCCCCCCCCCGAAATTCTCATGGTGGTCCGCGAGAAGGCCTTACTGGTACATTATTTAAACTGTTATGTTTATTCATATCATGATCTGATCACCATGCTCAATATATCCCATATGCATGGGGGTATTGGGGTAACGATACAAAAGGTTTGCTAGGGTAGATCCTCTTTCACTCAGACTCAGCCCCCCCCCCCCCCCCCCCCCCCCGAAACAAAACCCTGGCTACGGGCCTGCCCCAGGCAGTAACGGCCAGCTGTTGCAACTGCAAAGCTACTCAATGCTAATCAAGCTAATTGCAACATTCACACTTGCTTCAAACAGACAAGACTTCTTTCTCCAACCCTGGAAAATCCACAGATATACAATATATATATACCCCACTTGCCTCATTTCCAGCAGGCCCTTGAACAAACCTCTGAGGATGCTTGCCACAGATGCAGGTGAAATAGCAGGAGAGAAATCTACTGGAACATGGCCATACAGCCCAAAAAACTCATAGCAACCCAGCTGAAATAACGGTTGAGTCTGTGTGCTACAATCTATTTTCATGGTGAAATATGGGAGAATTGTCATTATACAGTGGACTGTTAAAAAGACACTGTAGAATTAATGTCAGTTGAAACCACTTTAACTGCCATGGCTTAATGGTAAGGAATGACAAGAGTTGCAGTTTTGCTAGGTCTTTAGTCTTCTTTACTAAATTTCATGGCACCAAACTACAGTAGCCATCATTCATAGCATTGAAATTTAATAAGACAGTTCAATTAAATCTTAAGCACAGATAGCAAAGGAACTGAAGGGAGATGCCAGCAAGCTGGAATGTGTCCAGAAGAAGGTGACTAAAATGATCAAGGGTCTGGAGAACAAGCCCTATGAGAAGTGGCTTAAAGAGCTGGGCATGTTTAGCCTGCAGAAGAAAAGGCTGAGAGGAGACATAAATATGTGGGGGAAGTCATAGGGAAGAGGGAGCAAGCAAGCTTGTTTTCAGCTGCCCTGGAGACTAGGACACGAAACAATAGCTTCAAACGACAGGAAAAGAGATTCCACCTAAAGATTTGGAAGAACATCCTGACTGTGAGAGCTGTTCAGCAGTGGAACTCTCTGCCCCAGAGTGTGGTGGAGGTTTCTTCTTTGGAAGCTTTTAAGCAGAGGCTGGATGGCCATCTGTCGGGAGTGATTTGAATGTGATTTTCTTGCTTCTTGGCAGGGGGTTGGACTAGATGGCTCACAAGGTCTCTTCCAACTCAATGATTCTATGATTCTAGAAGTTAAAGTGGTATCAAACTGCATTAATGCTACAGTGTAAGTGCACTTTAAATGGGTTCTACAGCTATCCAGCCTGAATTCTCCCTAGAAGCCAAGATGACTAAACTGAGACTTTCGTACTTTAGTCATTTCATGAGAAAGCATGACTCACTAGAAAGGACAAAGTGGAGGGCAGTAGGAAAAGAGAAAGACCCAGATGGATTGATTCAAGGAATCAACGGTTGCCCTAAGTCTGCAAAATCTGAGCAAGAGTTGATGCTAAGGTGAACACAGTAGCTTTAATATTAGACAACACAGCAATTAGAAAGCTAAACAAGAACTTTATTTATTAGTAAGAGGAAACTCCTGATTCCAATCTAATACAATTGTGCAGTCAAATGTTAGTTAGGGACTCAACTACACTGCAATACCTACACAGATATGACTTAGAGCAGGGTTGTGCTCCAGATGGTAGTTCTCAACAGCCTCAATCTGCATGGCCCAAGGTAAGGATACTGGGATAAGATGCCTAACTGTATCCGAAGAGCTACAAGTACTCCATGCCCTCCATGGAATAGCTGGAGAGTAGAGAGACTCTCATAATTATATATGCCACATCATTCAAAAGACATCAACCTTTATTTCAAATATGGACTAAAGAGCATCATCTATACCCCCCACATTTTGCAATTACCATTAATTTCAAAATTATAATTATACAATATTTAAAATCTTCCTAATGTCATAATTTGCTACCTGTGTCAGAACAGTCTACCATATAATTCAAAAAGGCAAACACAATTATATTTCTCATGAATTCTGAATTTGCAAATAATATGACCAAAAACTGTATCAGCTAGATAAAGCTTCCCTTCTCTTTTTGATGAGATAATTTAGTCAAGGATAGTTTTGATCGTATTTATCTGATCTTTCTGCATTAAAAAACACATTGTGCAAGATAAAAGTCTAAAATAGTTGGGTTTCTTTGAGGATTTACTGGAAAGTAATGGCAATGAACAGGACTTTTCTGGAATATTACAGCCAAAGTTCTTAAAATATAAATTTGGATATAAATTGAAGCATTTTATATTAGTCACAGAAGCAATAGGAGTACATTATTTGTTCTTTTGAATCTTTCCTAACTTAGGATGATGCTAAGGTGAACCCATCACAAGGTATTTTGACAAGATTTCTTCAGAGTGTTCACCATTACCATTCTCCGAACATGAAAAGTGTTAGTTGTCCAAGGTTGTCTAGTGGCTGAGTTGGGATTCAAACTGTGGTCTCTGAAATCTGGCAACAGGCAATAAAGTGTGTTTATTGACAAGATGTACTTAATGCAATTTATTAATCCTTATCGAAAGCCATATTTGGCATACCGTAAATCACAACACTGGGAGTATATTTTGTAGCAATCTTGTAATGATGCATTGGTTTTACTTCCAATTCTTGTATTCTCATTCTTCTCATTAATTTCACAAATAAAAACAAAACATGACAGCTTCAAGTTAATCAGGGTTTGTTTGTGTTTTTTTGGACTGCCTATTAGTTAGTTGCCTTGAGAAAAACCTTGATGGGTGGCCAACTGAATTGAAAGGCTGGATATCAGAGATAGGCTCTGGAATGTTG